GCTACTCTGTGTGAATGGCGTGTACAGTGCCATGCTGTCACCTTATATTTTCCTGGAAACATTGATGAAAAAATAATATTATCCACATAAAGGCAATTGAAAATTTTCTCTGGTTGCCACATGAAATCAGCCCTGTGGTTTTCCCTGTCTCTCCTTCAGCTACAGTTTTGAGTAGATAACAATGATGCACAAATACAAGAAGTAATAGTCTCATGCTTTGCATTGCTGAATGCTGTCCTTCTGAGGATTTTAAGTCTCAGGACAGTGAGTTTGGTTTCACATGCCCTTAAGAGCTATCAAGTCTTTCCAAGGCTACTTTACAGATGTAGAAAACAGTCAGCTCAAAAATCTATAAATGAAAATAAAGATAAGAAATTTCAGAATTTGTCTTCAGAAAAAAAAGAATTCTTGGAGAATTTTCTATTATTCTTCTGACATTTCTACACTTCTGTTTGTCAGAAAAAGAAAGTCATGGAGAAAGTCTTCTTCAAGAAGAAGAACTTGAAGAGTGAAAGAAGCCAGGGCTAGAAAGTGAAGCAAGGAAAAAGTAATGAAAAAATGAAACATTTTATTTTTTTAAAGAAAAAACTGAAAAAGGAACCTCTCAGTGTCTTACTGGGCAGACGCTGGGTGGTACAGAGGGTAGAGGTCCAGCCCTGTTTGCCCAGCTGGACTAGCCAGGGCCATGTTTCCTGGTTGCCCCCCAGCATTACTGCCCCCTCCTTACTGTGTGGGGACATCCTGGCATCAGGACAGGGCTTTCTGCAACACCCAGCTGTCTGTATTGCTTTGTTGGAGAGGATGCCCCATACACTGCTGGTTGTACACCACCAAAATCTACATGCTGCAAAGGTCCAGGTGGTGGTGTGCAAGACATCATGACGACCCTTTGAAAATCTCATGCCTTTAACCCCGAATTTACATTTCTGACTAGCCCCTCTTGCAGCCAAGTCATTTCTGGGTAACTTGAGCGTGTCTCCTCCCAATTTCTGTCCTGTAAAAGCTCTTCTTCTTAAAACCTTTCCCAGCTTCCTGGGGGTGGTTTGATAACTGTCGGTATTTCCGGTTATGAGAATATTGTTGGCAGAACTTTTAAGCTTCTCTTTCCATAGGTCCTGGTAAATTAATAGTTTGAAATCTCCATTTCTTCAAAATTCCTAGAGTCCAGGTGTGCTAGAAACAAAGCCACCTTTCTCCCAGAAGTGGAAGGGTCTCTCTTTCCATTCTTCACATCAACAATGGGTTGCGTCTGTCTTCCTAACTTTAGAAGCTTGAAAGTTTAATGAACACTTTTTTCCACTTCAATTTGTGAGGAAGCTGTTAATAAACAACCCCATCACTTTCCTAGACAATGTCACCTCACCTAAAAGACAAATCGACCCCCTTAATCACATCCCTATACCAGAGGATTGAAGTGCAGCATAGGAGTTGAAGTGAGGGCACAGTCCATCCTACTGAGTTTGCCTCTTGCTTTTATTTTGCTTTTTGATGTGGTGGATATAGATCCTTATGCTCAGGACACTGAAATTAATAGGGCTGTACTGCTTATATAATCTCTGATGGACACTTTGTTGTGTCTTACGTTAGTTTAAATTGCCATCATCTAATTGCATGCTTCAGAAAAAAAAATTATCCATCCTGGAGAGCTCCTAAATGCCTGTAGCCACTTTCCCACAGCTGGCAGGTCAGCAGCCAGGTATTCCGCTGGGTGTCAGCTACCAGTGCTTCTGTCATCAAAATAGAGTCACTTTCCAGTTTGTTTGGGAATAAAACTTCCATTACGGTGTAATAGGTCAGTCTCTCCAAGAACTTACTGTTCCTCTCTCAAGAATTCGATCCAAGTTAAAGCTAGTGGTGGAAAGCAGATAGGAGCTAGCAAGTGGAGATCTTCTCCTTTCATTAAGAGAAACTGCAGCAGGCCCAAGGAAACGCCCAGTTTAGCATTTGTTTCCTTCAAGGGTTGTTACTCGTGGTTTACTCTTGAAGGCTTTCCTGTGCCCTCGTGGGAGGGGGTGGTTTTGGTGGTGTGTAGATGGGAGGTACAACAGAACCAGCCATACCTCCCTGTGCCCGTTCCATCCAAACAGTGCCTTTTCGGTGGGAATTTGTGGGAATACAGCTAAACCCCCACCCATTGGGGTAGTGGAGCAACTCTGGGCCCACAGGCAGGGCAGGGGCCTGGAAAGCCAATAAATTCAGGAACTCTGCTTGTTTGGCTGCTTTGTGTAGAGATGTAACAGTACCAGCTGGGATATACCCCTCTCACACATACCTTGAGCATTTACTGTCACCCTCACATCATTTCCTGGATTAGCAGAACAGCTCTTCAGCTATAATTTTTGTTGAAATATCTTGCTTTAAACCTAGAGAGCACCAATGAAGGCCTCAAATCTGTAAATCAGCTGCACTTTGGAAAACAAATCATTGTGGTGGAGTTTTGCCAAGCTGATTTTCTGGGCTCATTCATTATTTAGTTTTCACTTTATGACCTGATTTAAACTGACTATGCTCCATCTGTACCAGTTGCATCCAAGATACGAGCCTGATTTACACTTTGAAAATGCAAACTGCTTCCTGGCTGCATTTTCAGGAGGAAGAAGTGTTACAAACAGAGGTTGTTCGGCAGCACCCATAGACCCCATAGACCAGGTTGCCTCTGCATACCTGCTTGAGCTGGTGGGATGTTATTACTGAAGGAAAAGCTGTGATCTTCCCATGAGATACAATAAAAATGGTGTCTTCCAGGGAGAAAATTAGACAGCTCCAACTGTGATTGCCCAGTGGCAAACTAGAAGATTAGAAAATACAGGTGGAATAAGGCTCTACAAAAGTAAAGGGGCACCTGGAAGAAAGGGTAACAGAGGAGACATGATGGAGAGGTGACATTAACATCTACAGTCAGTGAAATGACAGAGATGGAGAGGCAGCGTCTAGGGCTTGTGAGAAGAATGGGAAGAAAAAAATGGAAAATTTGATATTTATTTAATTGTCCACACAGAACTCACCTCAACAAAACTGTGCCTTCACCCAGGATGTCTGAAGGGCTAGTGTGGGGTCATATGGTTATTACAATAATGTATTTTCATGTTAAAAAATACCTATAATTTCTAAGAACACTCAATTATTTACACATATCATAAAGCTTATTTTTAAAGAAGAGCTTTTCTTCAAAGGGAAAATGGGCTGCCTTGGTATTAATATTGCAGTGTTGTTGTTTGCCAATCTTGGTGGACAAACAATATCACCGTACAGGGAATAGTCTTATGTATGGAAATAAGAAATCCAGGATTGATGTATGTGCATGACCGAAAAAAAAAAAAGAAACTGGGTTTGTAAAATTCTCTGATTTCACATTTGTCCAGTCATAAGATTAAGGAGATTAAAAAAGGTGGAAAAAAAATCCCATAAGAACAATAGTTAAAGCTTCTATCAGAATGGTGTCATTGATATCCTCTTTAAAATGGTTTATATTGCCAAAATCAGAATGAAGAAATCTTTGTGTAGAATCATATTAAATCACCTGTGCTAAGACTGCATAAAGTGCTTGGAAGGGCAGCTGCTGGAGTTAATGGGACCCTGTGTATTCCACCTTCTGTGAAATTCCAACAGTGAATAGCAAGAACGGATCCCCTTTTCAAGCTTTTTTATGTGGATAACAGTTAGTAATGGTAATTATCCCACTTGTTAATCTGAGTAATAATCACATTGGCCCATCTCTGATGTTCCTACTAGTACTGCAATTACTATCATGTAGCCAGAAGCATGTGTCTCATCATCATCTTTCTGTGGAGGTGATCACAATCCCCAACTTGGGTATGTCCTTCGTCCAGATGGATCCCTGGAGAGATTGTTATCTGCATTTCAATGCCTCCTTCCTCCTTGCAGGTGTAAGCATCTTGAGCTATATCTTCCTAGCATCTTCCTTGCTTTTACTGTTTTCACAAAGTCATCCTGGTGAGATATCCAGGAACTGAATGTGGTGCCGGGAGTGTTGTGAGTTCCCCAGTAAGGCGAGGGACTGCGTTTTACAAGGGAACAGTTGTGAAAGGATGGGCAGGACAGACGGCTGAACTTGCAGAACTAGTTTCCGCCATAAATGCTCTGAACACCGTAAACGTTCTGTAGCTTTTCTTTTTTTTCTTTTTGAAAGCTGAAATATATTTGGGAAGTACTTGTTCAAACTACAGACTCAGTCAAATATTAACAAGTGGAAACTGAGCAGGGGGGGGAAAGATACTTTGAAGGGCTCAAGCATGTGTGGGTTCTTGCTGTATTTGCCTAACTATAATCACTGGGGCCACACTTGCGACAGGCTAAAATGTTGCTGTGAATAGAAAGTATACCATAAGGGTTCTCAAATATGAAAGTGGGGCTGGAACAAAGAGCAGGCACCAGACAGACTTCCCCTGTTAACGATTACTGGCCTGTCGCCCTGGTGCCAGCAGTCTCAGAAATCCCGTCAGGAGCAGGCGGCAGTATCTCACCCAGTGTGATGGCGCTGCTTTGAAACCCTGCCCACAGCCTCAGTGTATTCCTTGCTACTGCCTTGTTGTGGGGGAATGAACTTTATCGCTTCGCCTTTGAGAGTGTTTGCTTTAAAGATTATTTACCACACTTGACAATTACCGAATTTCCTAAATTCAGCCTGAGGCATTGTTGTTGTTGTGTATCTTGTGCCGTGCAAAGCGATACCTTGGCTGCAGCGTGCAGGAGGTTGCAGTCCCTCAGTGTGCAGGAGGTTGGTTGCTCTCAGCACATGCTGAAGGTCCTCCCATGATGAAAGTCCTTCAGTGCTGCTCCAGCCCTCCACAGTCCTGGGGCTTGGGATGTCAGTGGAGACATGAAAACCTTCTGGCTGAAGGGTGGAAGAAAACTGTAACCCAATCTTGCAGAAACATCAGCAACCAGTGAGTTAGGATTCTTCCGCTGTCTTTGTGTGAAGGACATGAGCTGCAGGGCTGGTGTAGCAGGGACAAACACACAGCAGAAAATCCTCCTGATTAAGCTTTCAAGCTTTTTTTTTTTATTTTTTTTTTTTTCATTTTGAACCATATTTTGATCCTGTTAATCAAGGAGTTGTTGTTTCATTTATATTTTGTTGGGAGAACTACCAACACCTTTATATTAGAATATCTGACAACAGTGTCAACAACATTTCCCTGGACTGCTGCTTAATATGCTTTTATTATTTATTTTCCATATGTTGATTATTTTAATGTGTTCTTATTAAAGTCTTCCATGTTCCAGTAATATTGTCATTGTGTTTCTTTTGAAGGAGGCAAGTGTGTGTACTGAAAGATTAGATTATCCTGTTTAAAAAAAAAAAAAGAGAGAGAGAAAAGGGAAAAATGTCTTCAAAATGAAGTACATCAAAAGTAAAAGTAGGTGACAAATGTTAATATTTGCAAAGTGCTCCTACTTTGATCCTGCATTTCTATTTTTTTAAGAGCTTGACAAATGTGTCCTGTGGTTTGGCTCAAACCTCTTTGCCTAGTGCTTTTCTTGACCCACAATCCATTTGATCTTCCACTTGTTTTTCCTTCTGTCCAGGAGGCCTCTGGACTTGATAAAGGCTAGTTCTTATCTTCCACTTGCTGCTGTTCAGAGGCATCATTTTTTATTTTTGGTTGGATTAGGTTATTGTGCCTGTTTGCTTAAACAGTTTCTAAAGAGATATTAATTTTGCTGTTATTGTTTGGGATGTTTCCCTTCCCATTTCCATGCCAGTAACAGCTATAGCAAATCAGAATCTGGTTTGGCTGATTGATTCTGGCACTAGATGAGAGGAAGACATGGATGCTGAAGTGGCTGACTTGGATGGCAGGCTGCCACTTCATTGCTATAGTACAATTTCCAGGCATGTTTCATCCAGTACCTGAGCTTACAAGTATTTAATATACCAGACACTTTCAGGGGCTCTGGGAAGGATTCCCCCGTAGAAGGATCCTACCGAGGTCTTTGTTTTTCCCAAAGCTATTGAGCATTGCTTAGGGTTCCCTCACCTGCAGCCCAGTAATTACAGCTGGAGATTGGCAACTGGCTGCAGATAACAAAAATGCAAGTGCTTCTACAGCCCCCAAAAACCCATCTTAGTCTACCCACTGTGATCCCAGACCCAGTTTTGCCTGTAACATGGCAGATCTTCCTCTTTCACTATGCTGCTTCATGATCCCACTATTGCCCAGCTCAGTAAGAGCCATCCCATTATGCAACAGCCTGGGCAATCTGGAATATGCTCCTACAAATACTCATGTTGGCCATAAAAGTTGACATTTGACTTTATGGTCTGTTTTATAGCATCAGCTCCCTTGTCCCCCACTGAGAGCCCCTCCTCCCAAGAAACCATAAACCACAATTGAGGGAAATTTTGAGCTGCCATTTCAGCCAAGTGTCCATAGGATCCCCTATGGACCACTCCTCCAGCTCCAGGCATAGGAGCACCTCTCCATGTCTCATCCCCAGGGGCCTCCCACTGCCTTTAAAGAAATGGAGAATAAAGAATGAACTGGAGTAGATGATGCCCTCTTATGTGTCAGCATCCCCCTGCAACCAAATGTGTCCCCACGATAGTGTTGCTGCAGGACTTGGGGTGCTGACAGTGGTTATTTATGCTGCTCCCAGGTTTCAGGACAGAGTACATCTGTCAGGGCTCCCATGTGCAGTGCATTTGTTTTCTGGAGACGCGTTTAGGGTGTCATTTGCATTGCACTCAACTTCTGCCCCCAGAAAAAGGTGAGATCACTTCCACTGCCATTACAAGAGGCATGTACGTTTTGAATAAGGATGAATAGGAGGAAAGAAGGGGAGCTCGTTTTTAGGAACAACACTTACAGTGCTTTGGTTAACTGCAGTGGTCAGGCAGGAGGTTGTAACAGTTAAAAGACCTTTTCAGCTGTATTTCTTGTCTTTAACGGGAGTATGACACCTGCCAGCTCTCCATCTGTTTCTCTCTCCAGCAGAATAGATGCCATCGAGTGAGTGAAGAAGAGAAGGTATACAGCAGAGTAGATCAGGGTTCAGGTTTTCATGGGTGCAGTTGTCTGTCAATTAAAAAAAAAAATACCAAAACAAAGCATATAAAAAATCCCGAGAATGAGGAAAACTGTGATGATGGCACTCAGAGATTCAGAAAGAGCCTCACTAGGTAAACACTTCAACATCATAGTGGCCTCCTTTGTGTTTGTGTCTCCCTTTCCATTCCCTCATTTTTCATGCAGAGCTATTTCCTTTTGCTCTTACAAGTATATGAATTCTTCTCCCGTCAACTTTGTATCTTCTAATACTTTACCCATAATCAGGCACTCTGACTTGGAGGGGTGGCAGAATACTTTTCTTCTGGTGAGAACTATTTTGTTTGTTAAAAAAAATTTAAAAAAGGCACCAGGATTTTGCACCTTTCTTATTTTAGAGAATATCTGCAGCCAGATCAGCTATTCCTTTCCAAAACTGTTTTCACAGGCATTTCCTGAAGACAGTCTATCAGATAAAATGCTGACTTTAGCCTTTTCTTTGTCCTCTGCATAGGATATTATTTTATTCTTGTTTTTGCAGTTTCTTTCTGGGTTTTACTTGAAAGCACTTTTGCCAGTGCATAAGGAGATTCAGCGCCACTGTCAAAAAAGCTGTGCATGTTTCTGCTGGATAGATGTCTAAACTTACTTTATGAATTATAGCCAAACTAAGTTAAACAACTAATCACAATTAAGGAATTAATTTGATGATTTCTTTTTTTCTAAAAAGGCAGTCTTTGCAAGGATTCTTCAGCTCGGGGAATGCCTCTGATGGGCAAAGGTTGCCGTAATGTCATTTATTTCACCTCTCAGTCTGCAGGAGTCCAAGTGGAAAGTTGAAATAACTAATGCTTGGGGCAGTGCTGGGATCTTCTCTGCTGGCTTGCCAGCCTCAGAATGCCAGAAATATTGTCAATCTACCTCTGAACAGATCCAGTCAATCTTTAACTATTAGGTTGCTTCTGAGGCTGGAAGTCTGCAGCTTTTTCATAATGGTCATCAGCAACTGAATGCAAGATATAATAAGTTACTCCTTATATACACAGTGCTTCTTTGTGGGGAATAAAACACCCAACAAAATTACCCAAACCATGCAAAATGGAGGATGTAGAATAATATATAACCATATTAAATGTTTTTTTAAAATACAGTTTCTCACCTCCCCTGTATGCTTTCTCCACACACTGTTATCTGCATATATAAATTTCCTCACATTTCCTGAGGTTAAGACCAGGCACAACCTTCGTACCCAGACACTGGTGTGCTCAGGAGTAATTGCTTGATGTGCATTAAGGTAGAATATATCATTGCTAAAGGCAAAGGTGCACATGGAGTGGAGAGTCTTGAAAGGCAGACCCTCCAAGGAGCTCCTCTTTTTCTTGGACAAATGACCTGCTGCACTGTATCTTGAATGCTGAAGATAATGGGAAACACATCTTGTAAGAAAATGAGAAATTTTGAATAATATCTAAGCATCTGCGTCCCAAGGGAGGAAATAATCCCACTTACTTGAAAGTTAGACTTTCTGTTTCAGCTGATGGTCCTGATTAATTGATGGCCATAGAGATTTATTTGCAAGGATTGATTTAACCTAGTTTAGTCCGGACACTTATGCTAGGCAGAACAGGACAGGGAGGAAGGCAGTGAGAAGAATATCTGACCTCTCCCTGAAGAGCACTCCAGAGTGCTGTGCATGCCTGTACTACTGCTTCTACTTAGCCCCGGCATTTTGTTATCTCCTCTGACTTTTTTACCTGTTGCAACCAAAGTGGCATCCCAATGGTTCAAATTCTCTGTTATCTGCCCAGAGTCTATTGCAGTGCTGGTTTCCCAGTTCTGGTTATAATGTTGCCTGTATAAGTGAAGTTCTGTAAGTGCACATAGGGGTTGATTGGACAAGGACTAACTGTTTGGTGTCTGAGTAGCCATCCTGTGTCTCTGTGTGGTTGTTTTTTACTTCTGGGTCTCCTCTTGCAGTCCAAGCGTGGTCCTGCTTGGTGGGGGGGTTTCCCAGCATCGTGCCTCAGACAATGCCTGACCCACGAGGGGCAATGCCACCCGTGGCTATCACAGACGACCCCTGAGGTTGCTCTCGTCTGTAGTGGCTCTTCTTGGCACTGTGCAACGCGGGCAAAGTCTGTCTTTTGCTTTTTCACTTGCAGAAGTGTGAGTGGCTTTTTGACTTGGCACAAGCAGAGCCAAGAAACCTCCAGGGAGGATGGAATAGAAAGAAGAAAAGTCTGCACAGCAGATTGGAGAATGGAAACTTTTATACGCTGAGGTTGTTCAACGTTGTTATAACACCTGTCAAGGGTAGGAAATAATACCTTGACCCTTCCCTAGTGCTGCTCAGTCAGGTGCTGATACAGTGATGGATGTTACTTACACAGGGATAAGGGGGAGGCAGGAGGAGGGGCTCATTCTTTCCAGAGAGAAATAAGTCAGGTAAAAGGGGCAGATTTAGCAGCTTTGGAAATGCCGGGCAAGAGCAGGAAAGGACAAGCATGTCAGAAATCATGTTAAGAGAAGGCAAATTAATATAGCTTAAAAATAAATAAGTAAGCAAAATTAATTTAAAAGCCCAGACTTGAACCAAGCTTACATTGAAACTTGAAGTTTGAATGTGCACAGATACCTCACATGAACTATTTTCCATTTTAATGAAGGAGGCCACTGCTGTGTCTGACCAGAATTAACTTGCAAGGTGTAGCACCATTAAATGTTCAAGCAAGATTTGTAGCCTGCCTCAAGATAGGAAATACTGGAAATCACATGAGAACTTGTGATTTTTAGTTCCATTTAGTTCCCTTTCAGAAACTCAAGAGATTTGATCTTAATCCAGCAAGACAAGTAGCTGTGTATGACTTTTAAGAGTGTGAGTAGCTCCTTTATTTTTGTGAGACTAATGCAGAGGATGAGTGTTACAGCAAGCGTTACAAGGCAGAGAGATACCCTGCAAAATTCTTCCTTCGTGAGACCTTCTTAAGTATCCAGATGTTTGTGAAACATCCAGAATGAGGTGAATGCCACCATCTTGTCAATTTTGTTCTCACCTCAAGTTGCCTGGGTTTGCCCTTTTGCCCAATAAGATGTCACTAATGAGAGTTATGCAAGTAAAACTAGTAATTTTAGTTTAATATCAACCTCTCATGAATAGCTTGTTATTGCCTTCATACAGTTAACTGGTAATCATTGGGGCTATCTGAACCTTGTGCATTATTTGAGGTACCTACATATTAGCATTAATTATCGACTGATCAAGGAAAATCTTAAAAAGAATGGGGAAAGAGATGATCTTCCACCTGCCCCTTCTGATATTAGAGTTTATCTTTCTGCTTGATTCTGAAAGCAGCAGGTTTGGTTTTTGTTATTCTCCTCTGCAGATGATTGACGTAGGAAGGGTCCATCACCAGCATGACCACCTTTTATGCTCTTACCCTTTCCAGAATTTGCCAAACTGGTGGCATACAGGGCAGGGAAGCCTGCTCTTGTGTTCACAGAGTGGAGCCGTGGGATGTTGTACTTGTCTGAGCCCTGGCCCTCCTCCTTGCTCCCTCATCTTTCCTTTGCTGCCTCCTGTTGCATTTGGAGCCAAGCAGCTCAAATTGCCTCAGTTTCCCCAATTTGAGTTGTACCACTTTCCTCTTCCAGTTGACTGCCTCCTCAGAAATGGGCAAGCCAGTTATGCCAAAGAGCAAGTGGTGGAGGCTGTAAGTGAGGGTTCTGGGCAATCTGTGGCTTTTATTCAAGGTTTCCCTAACTCCCTCAGGAAACGGCCTGTATTTTGATCATTTTGATCAGTGAGGTCATAGCCAACACCCAATTTGCCATAGATCTTTCTGCATTCTGCATGAGAGCTCTGGGAGTTTGGTATTCCTCCTTGCTTGGCTCTCACATGCTCTTAAACAACAATATAACATTTCAAGAAATAAAATGAGGTGGGTTTTTTTCCCCGAATAAATGGTCTTCCATGAAATGTGTCTGAAAATTTCAATCTCTCAATTTTAATCAGTAACAAACCCTATGTTTTTGTGCTGAGAGCAACTGAGGAGATTCTGTCTGCTTTGCTACTTTCTTGCCTTACCCCACATCCTCCATTTTCCCTCTTGTATTATTACCTTAAACAATGTCTTTTTGGAAAGCATACTCTTTCTGAAGGTGCTTTGTTAAAAAGCAAAACAAAAACACAAAACCAACAGCAAATAACAAACTTCCCCGAAATTCCCACAGAAACAAATAAGACAGCTTTGAAATTGGAAAGCACTGGCACACGGTGCCACTAAGCCCAGATGTTACAGCCCTGAGAAAGAAACCACAGTTGCCCTCCAGTTGTTCTGCTGACCTATTTTTCACCTTCCATTTGATGTTCTTCCATCGAGCCCCAAGGTTTCCAGGCTCAAGTACCAACATCCACAGAGACTCGCTAATTGGCAATGGAAGACCAGAGTGTGTACAGAAATAATGTTCCCTCTGCTTTCTCTCTCCGTGTTGTGTACCTAAAAGGGCTCCCAAGGAAGGTGTTTGTAATGAGAAAGGTGCATTAGACACTGTATGCTGATAAGTGTGTAGACAAAGGAAAGCTGAGAAAGGCCCTGCTGAACTGGAACAACTGGCATGTACTTGGATGAGGGGTTTTCTTCCAAAGACTAGGAGCTGCTTTTCCTTGTTCCTCAGCCCTCATGACCTTTCTGGGAAGAGAGAAAGGTGTCCCATGTGCATAGTGCCACATACCCTCAGCTAACCCTCAAACATTTTTGCAGGCAGAGGACAGCTGAGCTCTCCTGTTCCAGGCAGGACTCTGAAACTCCCTCTTTCCCTGCATCTTGACTCCCAGATAATTACTTTGTGGTGGGTGCCATCCAAGTAACCGTGCCATGAGAATGTGCCCTCTTTGCACTGCTCGGTGTTCATGAAAGGCAGACAGATGGGGATTGAGGGAAAAAAAAATTTAGTCCTTTCTCATATCTTTTTAAAACTATACATGACTCTTAATGTTACAGTCTCACCAAGTATTTGGACACTGTGTTTATAGTCTTATCTTTGGAAGGACCTTAGGCCTACTGGATTTATTATATCATTGTTTCTAGAGGAATTTCTGCATTTTAAACTACCCTCTGGGCCCACTGGGGCTGTATAAAGTGTTCAGACACTTTCACTGTGTTCTCATTATTATGAATATGTATTAATTTTTTTTAATGTCCTGCCACATCTGTGGTGTTGATATCACAGGACTGATTTCTTCTGTCAGATACTCCTGGGTAAAGCGGCTCATGTGAGTATCTTGCAGCACATACAATTTTTGTGGAGGCAATTGTATATGACCTTCTTTGCATTGTCCTACCAATGACCCCTTCTGTAATCAAGCAGAAATCATGTTCCTGAAGAGTGGGAGGTATTACTGCTTCCATGCTGGTCCGTTCCTGGGCCCCTGCTGCACAGACATTGCCAACAGTAACAAATTGCTCTGAGTTATGTGCAGCAGTTTAGTGATGTGGACCAGTTATTTATTAGAGAGGGAGCTGAGACATCAGCAAAGGGCCAAAGTGTGATTAAAAGAAAAATTAAATGAAGCTGCCTCATCTAGCAGGCTTCTTGCAAAACCGATCTCTCTTCCGGATCTCACCTTGTTTATCTAATGGGGGATCACATGCAGAGTTTTGAAAGTAAACCCCTTACAAATAAAGAAATGTCCCCAAGGGCTGTGGATAAAGGTGACACAGTTGGACTAAATTGTATTTCCAGAGGTGGAAAATCAGTGATTTATTGTTTTGTTAGTCACAGTTTCCTAGGTTCAAACCTGGCTGTGATAGTGATTGCCTTGCTCAGAGGCACCTTTCAATTTCACAATATATGATAAAAATAAGGGACCTCCTCCCACACACTTGGAAGGACAAGGCAGCTCCAGAAGACCAAGGTTTTCTGGTAAAAACCAGGTCAATGGAGGTCACTGAAGCAATGCTGATTGCCAAGATAGAAAGCCCTCTGTTTGTTTTGACTCGGAAAAGAAACTTTTAAGTTTAACACCGTGCGTCTATAATGTGGACATTTCGAAAATGGAAGGTGACCTCTTTATGGTGACCCTTTAATAGTTGTATTGGTGGGCGAAAGTGATGCCAGTAGACAACTGGTCTGCAAACATAATGAAGTTTCACCCTCAATGATTCAATTCGGTTTGCTCAGAATAAGTTTCTTGGTCCCTTTCTTCCCTTCAGTGGTCACCCATAATAATACTCAGTACTTTGCCTGATGCAGTACCCTGAAGGGCTGGAGATGCTCTGGAGAGGACACTGTCAGCTCCTGGAGAGCGAAGGGCTTCTCAGGCAGATTGAGATGTGGCTGTAACATGACCCAGACCTGTGAAGATCTGAAACGGAAAAGTGGGTGGGAAGAGGTGGTGATGCAAACTCCAGTGCAAAAAGCAGGCTGTGCTGAATAAGGGCCTCTCTTTCCTGGGCCCCTCACTGGGCACCAGAGAGACTTGTACTTGTGTGATGCACCACAATCAAATGGTTTTCAATTGGATCAGCAACTGTGGCACATGACCCTGGCAACAGAAACCCAAGGAACTGGTGCTGAGCTCTTTGCTTGAGTTATGCCTCCAAAATCCCACAGCACACTGGGAAGTGACTTCCATTAAGATAGACGAAAAAGTAGACTGTCACAGGACAAATAAAGTAGACTGTCACATTTATAAATAGATGTTGGTCTGTGAATTCTGCTGGGAAAAAAATCAGTAAGACCTTAATAATGGCTACAAGTTGCATTCAGATCTACCTAACCACTGCGGGATTGCGTCTTCAGGATAAAGGTTTGAAATAAAAAAGGGGATTGGCTTGGCTCAGGTTGAATCAGCTCCTCCCCATCAAAAACACTGCAAAGACCCTGGGCATCAGTGAGGCTTTGGGTTATCAGCTTTGGAGGGACCGAGGGCTGCACCTGCAGGGACTTTTCTGCTGAGGCTGCACATCCATACTTTGCTCACCTGTTGGCCACCTGTCTGCAAGGCAGGGGCTGTGTATGCCTTCCATGGGGACAGCCTCTAGCAGACAGACCTCTTACTTGTGAAATGGTTCATTCTGTAAAAACAAATTTTTAAAAAATAGCCTTTTTTAGTTAAGAAGTTTTTAAATACTGGATTATCTTTTTCTTTTTCTACCTCTTCTCCTCCCCTTCCCCCCCCCCATTATTTTTTTTGCTGAGTAGTTTAATAAGTGAACTCCTTCAATTTCCCTCCTTTTGCCTCTCCCTGATGTTTCAACATTTCCTCAGCTTTGGAGGTGCACCAACCAGTTAAAGCAAAAATACTTGGATCCTGGATCTGTTTCCCCCACCAGAAAAGAAAAATCTGGGGAGGAGGACAGAAAATTTTCCCAGTGTTTTACAACTACAGCTCCCAAAATCAGGTGAAAAAAAGTCTGGTGAGATCTGAAAACTAGAAATAATGTTGAAAGTCCAACTCACCCTTGAAATAGTACTTCTTTTATTTGGCCACTGTGAGCAGCAATGAATAACATGCTTCTCACCACCTTGTGAGCATGTAGTGAAAATTTATGGGAAGCTGCAGCATTTCCAGTCCAATGTAATGGACTTTAATGCTTTTTTTATAGACATCAGTAACAATGTTTCTAGATCCACCCAAAACCCTAAAGCCAAATCAGCTTTGAGGTGGAAAAGAGGAATTTCATTTTTCCTCACTTTCACTGCTGGGACAGACAGCCTCCCTCCCTTTGAGGTAATTTGATTTTCACATTATGCTTTATGGGATATCCTTTATTTACCTAATGTTTTCCTGTCAAGTCTTTTCAGACTATGAATCTTGTATATTTTATATACACAAAGGTGACTTTTCCTTCCTTTAATGACCGTGGCTTATCAGTGCAGGCAACCGATACTGGACTCATAAATATGTCACTCTTGGGTTTGCGGCAGCCCCTTCTCCTTTATAAGACTACTCCTTGCTGCTTGCTCCTCCCTTCAGTTCACTGCATATCCACGTTCTGCTCGTCCCCTTGATGGTGTTGGACTCACCATTGGCTGGTATAAATAAATCAGTGATTTAAGCTATAGGTGAAAATCATTGTGAAAGGAGCACACAGAGGAATGTAATACAAGGTCGGTGGAGCCAGCGCCTTCCGACTCCAATTAAACATTTCCTGTAAGTCAGTGCCAATTGTGCATCTTGTAAGAACATTTGAAAGCGGGAGCTTGAACTCTAAGGGACCCTCTCGCCTCGAAACCTGTTTCCTGTTTAACAAGATTTAACAAGCACAACCAAACATGTGCCATCAGCAACAAAAGTCATTGTAAATGGCTCCAGTGTGCAAAGGTGCTGGGTTTCCTCTTGGCCCCAAACACCTACCAGCCCTGTCAGGCTGTCACAGGATGGTTGCAGCAGAGTGCCATGGTGTCCTGGTGCCCCAGGACTGGCACACGCTCAGCCGTTTTGCTAAGGGAGGGGGAAGGAAAGAGGGAAAAGGCAACCTTTTCCAAGGGGGTCAAAGCTTGTTGGGTGAAAGCTTCAAGACTTGGTCTTACTGTCCCAGGAGTTTTCTACAGAGGATGCACAACATCCACTCTATCCTGTCTTTCTCTTCAGCTTGAAGCACAGCCTTGCTGTAATCAAAGACATCAGTGTGGTGCCTTGGAACAGGCTCAGCCCAGGCTGAGCTCCCTGTCCAGGCAGAAAAGATGCCCAAAGCAGAGATCAGCCAAAGCCAACTCTTGACTGCGCAATCAGATATGGGGAAACTGGTCATGAGGGCCCCAAAGTTTAGGGGATCCTCCTGGCTGTGAACGCAGTGGGGACACGGAAGACACGTTCACTGTGGCCAGGTACTGAGAACACAGTCCTGCTTCCTAGAGAGCTGTACAGTGATAGGAGACATCTATACACGGGTGTGTGAGTGCATGTACACTATGTATACATCTCCTACTGGAAGCTTTTGTAGCGTACTCTCTGTACCTCTCTCCCTAATTCAAAAGGTCTGGTACTTGGGATGAATCCTCCAGTTCTCCTGAGTAACAACAATAGCAGTGATGGGAACAACAGTCTCATCAGTTTGCTGAAAACCACAGAGGCATTCATATACTGAAAGATACGTATCTGACCAAATTTTCCAAGTGCATAGCCCACACCTTGCCTCTCATCTGCAATCAGCTACTCTTTCCACCCCTGCCATCCTTATAGTAGCCAACAACCAGGGCAAGGTCTGTGAGCAAAGGGAGGACATGGGTGGAAAAGAGCAGAAGAAACAATGTAAAGTGGAGCCTAATGTGATTGAGACAGCTCTGTCCTTAAAACTGCTCGCACACAGAAGAAAGTATTTCAGGGATGGATGTTAAAATAAGAATAATTTTCTTTAAGGAGGTAATGAACTTGATATATGAGACATTAAAAGTTATTTTCTCACTGTCAGGGAAAAGCTTGGGAATTTGATGCCGACTCCTCAGCTATCTAAGTGGGTCATCCTTTATTTGAAATCCATCGTTATGGGATATGGTTCAAGCTCAGAGAGGACAGCACTTTTCTGAAAGAAGTCCCCTAGGTCTTTTCCTAGACTCATTGGGTCATGCTCAGGCGGGAGCCAGCTCTGCCCTCTCTGTCTCTGTGATGCACAGTGTCAAAACAATGCTTCAAAGGAAGGTCTCCACAAGGTCCTCACCCCCCAAAGCGGAGATGTGCTGGCATCCCTGCACCGTGGCTGAGGAGTGGACAAACCATCAGACCCTCTGGATTGGTCCTTCCTCTGCAAGCTGCTCATGACTCTTCACCACCATGGCTTCAGTCACTTCCCATGTGTCATGTCCCAGGATCAGCCCCTCTAGTGCTGCCTGGAACCCAGCAGCCCTCTCTAATGTGGGATCAAGCAAGAACAAGGCTCAAGCAAGAGCGTTCAAGCAGCCAACCTGGACTTTATTGGAGCAGGTGCCCAAAGACCTATCAATATCCCCCTCACAGCACGAGTTTTGCTAAGAAGGCAGACAGGTGCTGGGCTGTGGGTGGTTTTCACTGCCTTGAGCCTGCCACCAGCCCAGTGCATGCCCTGTGTGTGTGGGTGATGAGAGATCAGAGAGGCATCTCCCCCACGACGCATGCAGGCAGGCTCTGCAGCCGTGTTGGCTTTCCAGGTTTTATCGACCCAGGCTTTGCCGACCACGGCGTCCACCCCCGCTGCAGCTTGGGATACCACTGTGCAGCTCTGGGGAGAGCATCTGAGGATGCCCCTGGGACCAGCAGGCTCTGTCACCCTGTCTCAGGCTTGCTGACAAGAAGTCTGTTGCGCTATTTGCTCCACAATCCCATTCCTTCCTAAAAGCTGACTAGTGGGGAAGGCTGGTTGATGCTGCGACCAGTGAAAGTCAACAATTCTATCTGGGATAGAGCTGGATTTTGGCCGAGATGGATATTGTTCCCAGTTACTGTCATTTAGCTAGACACAGAATCACTTGCTGACACAAAAAGGGGATGTGAGCCTTCTTTGGTGCCAAGGTGTCTAGCTTCATCGTGCTAAACTGACTCTGAAATGCCATGTGAAACCAAGATACTGTACGGTGCTCTGCTGACTTCAGCAAGGGCATCCGTGCTGGCTTGTCACGGCACAGGGGCAGAAGTGCAATGTTCTGGGATCTGGCACAACAAGTAAGAGTTTTGGGCACTTCTCCAGGGGAAGAGCCTGCAGGAGGAAGGCAAAACCACTTGTGAAACCAATGGTTCAGCCATGCAGCTCAGAGGAGACCTCACAAAGTGCCCATGTGCAAAGCTGTGGCACAGGGGAAGACTACACTTTATCATCATCCTTAAACGAGTTTTGATTTGCAGTAAATTCGCACCAATGGGCCATAATAGTAGTGCTTCAGGCACCATTAAACCAGGACAGCACCTGTAAGCTGAAGCTGAGGTGGTTCATTTGGCATTAGATGCTGGACATAGGAAGGAGCTGAAGGAAGTATCTACCAACCTGAGGAGCCCGATGCCTCACTAGATAGCATAGAGGCAGTACAAAGAAGGAAGTAAAGCTGTAACGTATTCCCCTTGTACAGATGGGAAACTGAGGCATGTTGAGACCCTGTTCTCTGAGAGTGTGACTTGGATTTATATGGGGTCTCTGGAGCACAGCTGGGCATTAAAATCAGAAACTCTGTCTTATGTCTGTGCTCAGGAGGAGGAGGGGATGAACTGACTGGCAAACATTTCCAGACAGACGGTGGAGCGGATTAGTACAAAAGAGGATGCAGATCTCGGCTGTTCAGCTGCCAGCAGAAAGGAGGGGGAGTATGGTTAGGCAGCTGGTTGAGAAACAGGTGCAGAGAAGGTTTCCTGATAGCTGTGCTGTCATCCTGCTTTGAACCCTCAGCTCCCTAGTAAATCTTCCCTCTTGGAACTCTCTCATCAAAGTTTCATTTCCTCACGTTCCTAAAATAGTTCTTGATAAGCAACTTGTCGTGCTGGTAAAGCCCTTTCGGTTACTTTCCTAGAAATCTATTTTCATGTTTTCTCACTGGGCTTCAGCTGCTTGCATTCCCATTAGGGAAAAAAAAAATTGATAAAAAATAATCCATCCGAGGCTTAACACAACAATAAGGTGAAATGTTTATGTTTAGTAGCACAGCAGGACCTTGTCTGTCAACTGAATTTCCAAGCAATGCCATGAAACTGCAGTGGTAAAACTTGCCCCTAACCCTAGAGCCAGAGACAAGAAAATATGAAAATATATTCTTGGCACGTAAAAGATCTGCAGGAAATACAGACTTTAGACTTTCAGTGGCTTCTTGCAGGGCATTTTATCTTCACACTACAGTCAGAGATGGAATAAAGCAGAGGTGCTCAAGCTGCAGTTTTTAAGGCACAAGGTCAGCCCTTGGGTGGGGCAAGTGCTCTTTCCCTACTCAGTTCAGAGACACCTTGGACCTGCACTGGCATAAGGCTCCCGGGCAATCCCAGGTGCTGGGGGAAGAAAATTGGCAGAGTACATTGAGACTAACATGACTAAATGACATTGTAACACAGTTCACATCCAAATCATCCCCATCTCATTGGAAAGTAACGTGAAATAGCTGCTATCCCCAAATAATTAAT